GCGTGGTGAGGGCCCTGGGCCCCCAGTACCTGACAGCCATGGTAGCAGGGCTGGGGGGGACGCACCCGGTCAGCTGCTCCTGGAGGAAGTGGCCCCACACCCAAGGTCGCCACTGTGGCCAGCAGCAACCTCACTGTTTGGCCAGAGTGGGGACACATTAGGGGCGAGCACGCAGCTGGCCCTAGTGAGCAGGTGTGGGGGTGAGTTCGGGGGAGGGTGCAGCCATAGAGCCTCCCCAGCAGCCCAGCACTCCAGTGTGGCGAGGGTGGCCTTGAAATGCCCTCACACGTGTGCTGGAGGCAGCTGGCTGGCAAGGCGTGAGGGCTGGGACTGGACATAGGGCCAGGGAGTGGCCAGGGCCTCAGGACCTTCAGAGGGGGCGAGGCTGAGGCCCTGGTCTGAACGGGGTGGGGTGGGGGCCAGGAACCTTCTGTGACCATTAACGCACCCCCCACTTGCCAGCTGCTGGCTGAGGCCACGCCGCCAGGACACCGGCCCCAGGGGCCCTGCAGGCAGCAGAGAGCAGGGGCCGCGGATCTGCGCGCCCAGCCCTTAGGCGGGAAGTCCCTGCTCCCGGCCGCGGCCCTATACAGCAGGTGACCGCCCCCGCCCCCGCCCCAGCGCCTGCCGCGTTCCTTCGCGGTGACTCTGCGGGGGGCGGGGGGGTCGAGGGGAGGGTCCCTGGCGCTCGGCAGCCCCTCCTAGCCCGGGGGTGCTCACAGTCGCCCGGCGCGCCCGAGTTCCCGGTACCTGCCCGCCCCACCCCGCTGGCGTCCTCGACCTGGCGGCCGCCGCGCCCCGGCCCCCAGAGGAAGGCGGAGCCGCCGCGGGAGGGGCCTGCTCCGAGTTAAAGGCGGGCGGCGCGGGCGCGGAGCCACTGCGGACTGAGGAGCGTTCGGCAGGTGCGCAAAGGTGCAGGTGCGGACGCGGGCCGGGGGCGGGGCGGCCACCGGGCGAAACCGAAACACCTGCGCGCCGGCGGGTGCGGGGCGCAGCCGGCCCGGGGCCCGGGGCTCGGGGCCGGCGCGGAGCCCTTGCGCCCGGCGCGAGAGGAGGCTGAGGCCTGGCGGAGATCTCGCTGACCCAGCTTTCCGGGTGGGATGAGTTAGGGGGGGCGGGGCGGGGGGACTGCAGGAAGGGGACGGGGCGGACCCATCCGGAGCACTGGCGCGGCCCGCGGCCCCACGCAGGGTGCGCTCCAGGCCTTCCGAGGTAGAGGCAGAGGCGGGGGCACCCTGTTTCTGTCCCTACCTGCCGTCCTGCCCCCGGCTCTGGTCTGTCTGCAGGGCCAGGGAGCAGGTGGGTGGGGTTCTGGGCCCGCTGCCCAGCCTCCTGGTTCCCTTTGGACCTGGCCCACGTGGGCCCGCAGCAAATGCCTGCTCCTTGTCCCAGACTGGAGGGGCCGCCTGCCCTTCCGTGCAGCCCCCGCCTCCTCCCCAGCCCCCTGCGCACTTCCTCCCCCACCTGCCCTGAGCTCTGGCCTTCTCCAGAGCCCTGGACCCCTTCCTGGCCACCGCTGCCCTGCATGGCCTGCAGTGCCTGTGCTGGGCAGGAGACTCTTGCCCTCTCCCCCCACCACATCCTGGCCGGAGATCAAGGGGCAGTCCTGTCCCCGGCTCATGCCTCAGACCTGGACAGTGTCCGGTGTGAGTCACACGGGCTCACCGGGAGGGCAGGCCCTGTGCAGTGGGTAGCCACGTGCCCAGGCTGGGTTCTCGGAGCAGAGTGTGAGACCGTGGCCCCCACAACAGGGAGGGAGGAGGTGCGGTGGGCGAGGCGGGTGCTGGCCCGTTGTGTCCCCCTGGTCCCTGAGGGCTGGTCTGGGCCTGTGCCCACCAGCGCCACAGCCACACCCCTGAACCAGCCTCCGGGGGCTGCTGCAGGCACCCACTGCCCCTGCTGTCACCAGTCCACCACAGTCCCCCTCTGCACACCTGGGGGAGGCTCCCTGGGACCTGGCCTGGCCCTCCTCCCTGAAGGTCCCTCCCAGGCCAGCAGAACTACGGGCACTGGGAGGGCAGGTACTGCTAGCCACCGGGGCCCATGCCCACCCCAAACGAGGCGGCCATGCCTTCTCCTAGCGGTCAGCTGTGACCCCACAGTGACCCCTGTCTGCCTTTCGTCCCTGGTGAAAGTGGCCAGAGGCCCTTGGCTCCGTGGGGCTGGTCATGTCCCTGGCACAGAGCTGTGGATCGCCAGGGGTGTTGGGCAGTCACTGCTGGTCACCCCAGACCTCCGTTCCTGCACCCATGTGGCCCTTCTGGGAAAAGCCATCTGGGGTGCTCCCTGGGAGCTGGGCCTTGTGGGTCATCCTGAGAGGCCAGCAGCCTCCGGGCGGCACGCACGCTGTGGCCAGTGGCCCGCGGTGAGCTGCACGGCTCTGCTCCTGGCTTTCCTCACCGGGCGGCGTTTCTGCTAAGGCCAGGGAACTCCCAAGGACACCGCCCACCCCACACAGACACTTAAGGTCAAGGGAGGGGGCTACGGAGAGGCCCACGGCCCCACTGCGAGCCAGCCTGGCCCAGGGCCCCGGGGGGCCTCCAGGCGCTCCGCCACGTGGTCCCTGCTCCTGTGGCCACACTCCCTGGCAGCGGGGGGAGGGGTCCTTCTTGGTGTCTGCTCTGGACCCGGGGCTAGGCTGGGGGACCTTGGCCTGAGAACCGTGTCCGTGCCTCTTGCTCAGGTCGGGTCACCCTTACGGCCGCCCCAGCTTCGTCTGGCAGCTGTTCCCGGAACCCTCTGTGGTGGCCGGGGGTCCCTGCCTTGGCTGCCGGTCACCTCCAGGCTCCCACCTGCTGGGTCCCTCCCACGGTGGCCGTCCCAACCCTGGGCTTCAGGCTCCCGTGCTGGGCTCCTGCAGCCCTTCCGGGTTGGGGGTCCCAGGCTGGGTTCTGGGGACCTGTCAGTGGCAGCAGACCCCTCAGGGCAGGTGCTGTAGAAGGGGCTCTGGCCTGAGGGGGGCGCTCCGACAGGGGCAGGGACTTGGGGGTACATGGAGCCAGGTGTCAGGGTGCCCCCCAGTGCCACTGGGGCCCTGCCTTTGGTGAGGCCCCCACCCTGGCCCTGCAGCACGCCCCCCACTCCCGCATCTCTAGCCAGCCAGGGTTTGCATCCCGAGTATGCCCCCCTTTGGAGAGCAGAGCCACAGGGCCACGCCCTCCAGGTGACCACCGACCCCAGCCACGCTGAGGAGGCTGCTTGGTCCTAGCACCAATGGCCAGGACTCTGAGTAGCAGGGCAAGACGCCTGGGGAGGGCTCAGGACCAGATCTGTGCCAGGGAGGGGTGAGATCTTGCTGGGAAGGGGTGGGCTGCAGGTGTGGCCATTGGCTGCCCAGGAGGGGGTGCCCTGGGGCTGCAGGGCGGCACTAGCCATGGCTCTCCTGAGCTGGGGCTGAGACCTACAGCCCCAGAGGACGTCTGGCAGGCTGGCCACCCCCGGGTCCAGGGGACATCAGGCCCCGGCTTGTCCCTGTGCCACCAAAGCCCCTGCCCTGGCCCGTCACCCTGAGCACATTCCAGACTGGTGTGTTGCTGGGAGGGCAGAGGGCAGTGGGGTGGCCGGGTAGGAGCCGGCCCAGGCACGCAGGAGCAAGAAGGCAGGAGTGGGTCGCCTGGCGTGGAGCTGCGGTGGCCCTTGTGGGGCCAGGGAGAGAGGCCAGGCTGGCCCCTGTGTCAGTCTGCGAGGGTGTGGGACCCCTGAGATCGCCCAGAGGGTGCCTGTGTCCAGCTGGATGCCTGGTTCTGAGCTCAAGCTGCAGATTCTGGGGGCTGAAAGCTGCTGGGGGGTCTCTGCTTTGACGGGTAAACAACAGCCGAGCAGGACCACCACGGGGAGGAGCTCCCCCAGGTCCAGACTGCCTGCGAGCTGGGGGCAGGAGTTGGGTGCTGCGGGGAGGCGGGGCCCGCGTCGCCCGAGACCCTGGGAGCTGAGGGGCAAGGGTGCAGGCAGGCTCCCGGTGGACGGAAGCTTCCAGCAGGACTGGATGTGGGCCGAGAGGGGTCCGCAAGGGGTTCCGAGGGGCGGAGGCAGGTGCAAGGAGCCGGCGAGCCCAGGAAGGGGCCGCAGAGACGCGGAACGGGCGTGAAGGCCCAGGGAACGGATGCCAGGGCCACACGTCTGAAACGCAGGTGCGGGTGGGGCCGGGGCAGGATCCTGCCTGCCGCGGCTGCCCCTGGTGCCTGCGTCAGCCGCCTACTCCGCCTGCATCCTCCCAGGGCCGTGTTACAAGGCTGTGACCTCACCTCGCTTAGGTCAGCAGGGATCCTGTTTCCAAATAAGGCTGCCTTCGCAGGAGCTGTCTAGGGCACCAGTGCAGCCCGCTGGAAAGGGGCAGGAAGTCAGGTGGGGAGGCGAGGCTGACGGAGCAGCCTCAGCGTAGGACCAGGGCCCTCCAGGGCACGCGTGGGTGAGGGCAGGCGGAGGAGGGGCCCGGGGGTGGGGCTGTCAGGGAGCCTGGGTCCCAGGCAGAGGCCTCCTGCAGGGTGGCCGCCACGTGGGGAAGGTGGAAGGAGGCAGGTGCTGCTGACCCGTGAGACCACCCAGGGGAGGGCAGGAGGCAGACGCTGAGGCTGAGGGGCGGGGCAAGGCGCTCAGCAGGGCGGGCCAGAGGGGGACCCAGGGTGGCGTGGACACACAGACCCCTGCTTCCCCCGAGACAGAGAGAGCCCCTCACCCGGCCCCTGTGCTCACGCCCTCTGGGCCCCCTGAGGACCCCTCGCTGCCCGCACAGGGGCCTGCAGGGCTGGGGAGCACCCACTGAGTGGGGCTCGTGCCCCAGGGGGGAGCTGTTCCCGCGAGCAGACGTGGCTGCCCAGGACCCCTCCACCCTGGGCATTTGGAGGTGGTCCCAGGGCTCATCCTGCGCAGAGGGGCGGGGATTAACCCTGGGACAGTGTCCCCTCCCAGCCACCCTGGCCATCCAGGGTCTCTGACCGAGGCTTCTGTCCCTGCAGGACACGAGTGCGGCTTGGTGAGCTCTCCAGGACCAGGCACCGGCAATGAACGGCCTCGCCTCTCCTCCTCTTGACATCCTCACCAGTGGGGGCACCGAGCCGGCCGGCGTCCCCAGGACCATGAAGCCTGGCCCAGAGCCCGGCACCAGCTCTGCAGAGGCCAGGAGCATCGCTGGGGTGTATGCGGAGGCCTCGGGCCAGGTGCAGAGCGTCTACGCGGCCATGAAGCAGGGCCTGCTGCCTGCCGGGCTTGGGCTAGCTCTGCTGGAGGCACAGGCGGCCACAGGGGGCCTGGTGGACCCCAGCAGGGGCCAGCTGCTCCCCGTGTCCGAAGCCCTCCGGCAGGGCCTGGTGGGGCTGGAGCTGAAGGAGAGGCTGCTGGCCGCGGAGCGCGCGGTCACCGGCTATCCTGACCCCTACGGGGGCGGGAAGCTGGCCCTCTTCCAGGCCATTGGGAAGGAGGTTGTGGACAGGGCCCTGGGGTGGAGCTGGCTGGATGCCCAGCTGGCCACAGGTGGCCTCATAGACCCTGCTCGGGGCGTCCGAGTGGCCCCGGACCTAGCCTGCCAGCAGGGCTTCCTGGACCAGGAGACGTGGCAGGGCCTGGTGGAGCCGGAGCTGCAGCCGGAGCCGGGCACCGGCGCCCCAGGCTTCCTGGATCCCAACACCCTGGAGCGGCTGCCATACGGCACACTGCTGAGCAGGTGTGTGCAGGCCCCTGGCTCGGGGCTGGCACTGCTGCCCCTGAGGGTCACCTTCCACACGCTGGGCAGGGCAGTGAGTGCCGGCGAGCTGCTGGAGGCGGGAATCCTGGACCAGGAGGCGGTCCAGGGCCTGCAGGAGGGCAGGCTGGCCGTGGGGGAGGTGGGCGCCCGGCCCGAGGTGAGGCGATACCTGGAGGGCACCGGTGGTGTGGTGGGGGTCGTCCTGCTGCCCACAGGCCACACGAAGGGCTTCTTCCAGGCTGCCTCCGAGCACCTGCTCCCTCTGGGCGCCGTGCTCCCACTCCTGGAGGCACAGGCCGCCACCTGCACCCTGGTGGACCCCGCCACGGGCCGCCAGCTGTGGGTGGAGGAGGCGGTCAGGGCAGGCCTGGTCGGCCCGGAGCTCCACCACCGGCTCCTGGCGGCAGAGCACGCGGTGACCGGCTACCACGACCCCTTCAGTGGCTCCCGAGTCTCTCTCTTCCAGGCCATGCAGAAGGGGCTGGTGGACAGGCCGCTGGCTCTGCGCCTCCTGGACGCCCAGCTGGCCACGGGTGGGCTGGTGTGTCCGGCCCGCAGACTCCGGCTGCCCCTGGAGGCCGCCCTGCGCTGTGGTTGTCTGGACGAGGAGACACGGCGGCACCTCCCGCAGGCCGCTGGCTTCTCAGACCCCTGCACGCACGACAGCCTGAGCTACGGGCAGCTGCTGGCCCGCTGCGTCACCGACCCCGAGACGGGGCTGGCCTTCCTGCCCCTCTCGGGGGAGCCCCGTGGAGAAGAGTCCCCCGCACGCCCGTTTCTCGAGCACCGCACGCGGCAGGCCCTGAGCACGGCCAGCACCGAGGTGTCCGTGGGGAAGCTCCGGGGCCGGCCCGTGTCCCTCTGGGAGCTGCTCTTCTCCGAGGCCGTCTCCGCAGAGCAGAGGGTATCGCTGACCCAGCGGTACCAGGCAGGGGCCCTCTCCATGGAGGAGCTGGCGGCCGAGCTGAAGGCCGGCGCCGAGCAGGCCGCCGCCAGGGTCACCTTCGCCGGGCTGCGGGACGCCGTGACCCCGGGGGACCTGCTGACGGCCGAGATCATCAGCCGGGACCTGTATGAGCAGCTGCAGCGGGGGCAGACCACGGCCCAGGCGGTGGGCAGCCTGGACTCGGTGCGGAGGTACCTGCAGGGCACCGGCTGCATCGCTGGCCTGCTGCTGCCCAGCACCCAGGAGCGGCTCAGCATCTACGAGGCCCGCGGCAGGGGGCTCCTCAGGCCGGGTACTGCCCTCGTCCTCCTGGAGGCACAGGCAGCCACCGGCTTTGTCATCGAGCCGAAAGAAAACAAGAGGTACTCCGTGGAGGAGGCGCTAAGGGCCGGCGTCATCGGGCCCGACGTGTTCGCCAAGCTGCTGTCGGCCGAGCGCGCCGTCACGGGCTACACCGACCCCTACACGGGCGAGCAGATCTCGCTCTTCCAGGCCATGCAGAAGGACCTGATCGTGCGTGACCACGGCATCCGGCTGCTGGAGGCGCAGATCGCCACGGGCGGCATCGTTGACCCGGTGCACAGCCACCGCCTGCCGGTGGGCGTGGCCTACGAGCGCGGCTACTTCGACGAGGAGATGAACTCTGTCCTGCTGGACCCGGACGACGACACCAAGGGCTTCTTCGACCCCAACACGCACGAGAACCTCACCTACCTGCAGCTGCTGGAGCGCTGCGTGGAGGACCCCGAGACGGGCCTGCGCCTGCTGCCGCTCAGCGGCCGGCAGCCCCAGCTGGTGGACGGGGCCACCCGGCAGGCCCTCCAGAGCCTGCTGCTGCCCATGAAGCACGGGCGCTTCCAGGGGCGGGCGGTGTCTGCCTGGGAGCTCGTCAACTCGGAGCTCTTCAGTGAGGCCCGGCGGCGGCAGCTGCTGCGGCAGTACCGGCTGCGCAGGCTCACGCTGCAGCAGGTGGCACGGCTGCTGGAGACGGAGGCGCGGCGCTGGGCGGGCGTCACTCTGCCTGCGCTGCGGGGCCAGGTCCCCGCCCACCAGCTGCTGGAGGCCGGCGTCATCGACGAGGAGCTCCTGGACCAGGTGCTGGAGGGGGCGGTCAGCCCCGAGGCCCTGCTCCGCGTGGACAGTGTGCGCAGGTGCCTGCGGGGCTCGGGCGTCGTGGGGGGCGTGCTGCTGCAGCCCTCCGGCCGGCACCTCAGCCTGTACCAGGCCATGGAGCAGAAGCTCCTGGCGCCCAGTGTGGCCCTGCCCTTGCTGGAGGCCCAGGCGGCCACGGGGGCTGTCAGGGACCCCTGCAGCCGGGAGAGCCTGTCAGTGGACGAGGCTGTGCGCAGGGGGGTGGTGGGGCCTGAGCTGTACGGCAGGCTGAGGTGGGCCGAGGACGCCATCGTCGGCTTCAGGGACCCCTTCTCTGGCAAGCGGGTGTCCCTGTTCCAGGCCATGAAGAAGGGCCTCGTCCCCGTGGAGCAGGCCACCCGCCTCCTGGAGGCCCAGGTGGCCACGGGGGGCGTCGTCGACCCCAGAGGCCACCACCACCTACCCCTGCCCGTGGCCGTCCAGCGCGGCTGCATCGATGAGGAGACCGGCACGGCCCTGTCCGGCTCACCTGAGACCTTCCCCACCGCAGACGGCCAAGGCCGGACCAGCTACGCCCAGCTGCTGGAACAGTGCTTGCCGGACGAGGCCTCCGGCCTGCACCTGCTGCCGCTGCTGGAGGGTGCGCCCGCCCTCCCCAGTGACGCGCAGCTGCAGGAGACCCTGCGGGCCACGCCGGGGACGGAGGACGGCCGCTCCCTCTGGGACCTCCTGAGCTCGTGCCACTTCACCGAGGAGCAGCGCAGGGCCCTGCTGGAGGACGTGCGGGTGGGGCGGACCCCCGTGCCGCAGCTGCAGGCCACCGTGCGCAGCTGGGTGCAGGGGGCAGAGCTCCTGGCCCACACCCATGTCGCGCTGCCCGGCCCGCGGGGCGAGGTCCCTGCCGCCTGGCTGCGGGACGCCGAGGTCATCACCCAGGAGACCCTGGAGGCGCTGGCACGGGGCACACAGTCGCCCTCGGAGGTGGCCGAGCAGCCTGCCATGCGGGCCTGCCTGTGGGGCACAGGCTGTGTGGCCGGCGTGCGGCTGCAGCCCTCAGGGGCCAAGGCCAGCATCGCCCAGGCTGTGAGGGACGGGCTCCTGCCCCCGGGCCTGGGCCAGAGGCTACTGGAGGCCCAGGTGGCATCCGGCTCCCTCGTGGACCCCGAGACTAACCAGAGACTGTCGGTGGACAATGCAGTGAGGGCCGGCCTCGTGGACAGGGAGATGAGCGAGCGGCTCAGGCAGGCCGAGCAGGCTGTGGCTGGGTACGCGGACCCCTACTCCGGGGGCACCCTGTCCCTGTGGCAGGCCATGGAGAAGGGGCTCGTGCCCCAGAGCGAGGGCCTCCCTCTCCTGCAGGTGCAGCTGGCCACGGGGGGCGTGATGGACACCGTCCACGGGGTGCACCTGCCCCTGGCAGGGGCCTGCAAACTGGGCCTCGTGGATGAGCAGACGCATCGGGAACTGACTGCCACGGACGAGGGCAGAAAGTTCTTCTTTGACCCCAACACCCGGGCCGAGGTGACGTACCAGCAGCTCAAGGAGCGGTGCGAGCTGGATGCTGACACCGGCCTGTGGCTGCTGCCGCTCCCCCAGGCCGCCGCTCTGGAGGTGGACGAGCACACCGCCGTGGCGCTGAGGGCCATGAAGGTGGCCGTCAGCCTGGGGAGGTTCCAGGGGCACAGCGTCTCGCTCTGGGACCTGCTGCACTCCGAGTACGTGGGCGCCGACAGGCGGCGGGAGCTGGCCGCCCTCTGTCGGTCCGGCCGGGCAGCAGCCCTGCGGCAGGTGGTCAGCGCGGTCACGGCCCTGGTGGAGGCCGCGGAGAAGCAGCCCCAGGAGGCCACCTTCAGGGGGCTCCGGAAGCAGGTGTCGGCCAGGGACCTGTTCAGGTCCCAGCTGATCGATAAGAAGACGCTGGACGAGCTGAAGGAGGGGAAGAAGACGGTGCAGGAGGTGACCCAGATGCGCAGCGTGCGGCAGTCCCTGGAAGGTGGCAACTTCATTGCCGGGGTCCTCATCCAGAGCACCAGGGAGAAGCTGAGCATCCCCGAGGCCCTGAGGCGGCACATCCTGCGGCCCGGCACGGCCCTGGTGCTGCTGGAGGCGCAGGCGGCCACCGGCTTCATCATCGACCCCGTGGAGAACCGGAAGCTGACCGTGGAGCAGGCCTTCGAAGCGGGGATGTTCGGCAGGGAAACCTACATGAAGCTGCTGTCGGCCGAGCGCGCCGTCACGGGCTACACCGACCCCTACACGGGCGAGCAGATCTCGCTCTTCCAGGCCATGCAGAAGGACCTGATCGTGCGCGACCACGGCATCCGGCTGCTGGAGGCGCAGATCGCCACGGGCGGCATCATCGACCCCGTGCACAGCCACCGCCTGCCGGTGGGCGTGGCCTACGAGCGCGGCTACTTCGACGAGGAGATGAACCGCGTGCTGCAGGACCCGAGCGACGACACCAAGGGCTTCTTCGACCCCAACACGCACGAGAACCTCACCTACCTGCAGCTGCTGGAGCGCTGCGTGCCCGACCCCGACACGGGCCTGCACCTGCTACAAATCGTGAAGAAGGGAGAAACCTACTCCTACATCGACGAGGCCACCAGGCGGGCTCTGCTGTCCCGAACGCTGCCGGTGCGTGTGGGCAGGTTTGCCGGCCAGACTCTGTCCTTCTGGGACCTGCTGTCCTCTGTGTACTTCTCCGAGGAGAGGAAGCGGGAACTTGTGCAGCAGTACCGGGCCCAGAGCCTGAGCCTGGAACAGCTGCTGGAGATCATCACCGCCGCCGTAGAGGAGACGGAGACACAGAGCCAAGGAATCACGGTGGCAGCCCCGGGGGGGCAGGTGACGGCGGCAGAATTATTCAACGCCGGCATCATCGACAAAAAGACCCTGGACACACTTCGCAGTGGGGAGAGCGGCGAGCAGGCCCTCAGCAGCCTGGAGGGCGTGAAGACCTTCCTGGAGGGCCGCGGCTGCATTGCCGGGGTCACCGTCCCCACCACCCAGGCCGTCTTGAGCTTCCATGACGCCAGCAGGAAAGAGCTCATCCCTGCAGGCATCGCGGCTCAGCTGCTGGAGGCCCAGGCCGCCACCGGGTTCCTGCTGGACCCCTGCACCCACCAGAGGCTCTCCGTGGACGAGGCCCTGGCTGCCGGCCTGGTAGCACAGGAATTGCGGGAGAGCCTCCTGAACGCCGAGCAGGCCGCCAAAGGCTACGTGGACCCGGATACCGGGGACACCATCCCCCTGTTCCAGGCCATGAAGAAGCAGCTCGTGCAGAAGGAGGAAGCCCTGAGGCTGCTGGAGGTGCAGCTGGCCACAGGGGGTGTCCTGGACCCTCTGCACCACCACCGGCTCCCGCTGGACACGGCCTACAGGCGCGGCTGCCTGCAAGAGGACGTGTACCCGCTGGTGGCAGACCAGAAGCGCATGAAGAAGAGGTTTCTGGACCCCAACACGCAGGAGAAAGTCACATACCAGGAGCTGCAGGAGCGGTGCCGGACCCAGCAGGAGACAGGCTGGGCGCTGTTCCCTGTGGTCCAGGGCCCAGAGCACGCTGAGTACGTGGACGAGGCAACCAGGAGGGCTCTGCAGGAGGAGCAGGTGCACATCACGGTGGGAAAGTACAGAGGCCAGAGGCGCTCCGTGTGGGAGCTGCTGAACTCGGAGTACGTGACCGAGGAGAGGAAGCGGGAGCTGGTGCGGCTGTACAGGACCCACACCGCCGAGGCGCTGGGCAGGGTCAGGGATGCCGTTCTGCAGCTGATCGAGGAGAAGGAGGCGGGCAGCCAGCAGCTGTGGTTCACAGGCATCAGGAAGCAGGTCACAGCCGCCGAGCTTCTGCAGGCAGCCGTGATCAGCCAAGAGACGCTGCAGGAGCTGCAGGCCGGCACGCGCACCGTGCAGCAGCTGCAGGACAGCGAGGCCGTGCGGCGCTACCTGCAGGGCACCGGCTGCATCGCGGGCGTCCTGCTGCCGCCGTCCGGGGCCCGGCCCGGCGCCCCGCAGAAGATGAGCATCTACCAGGCCATGCGCCAGGGCGTGCTGCGGCCCGGCACCGCCCTGGTGCTGCTGGAGGCGCAGGCGGCCACCGGCTTCGTCGTGGACCCGGCGCGCGACCGCAGGCTGTCGGTGGAGGAGGCGGTGGCCGAGGGCGTGGTGGGCGGCGAGCTGCGGGAGAAGCTGCTGTCGGCCGAGCGCGCCGTCACGGGCTACACCGACCCCTACACGGGCGAGCAGATCTCGCTCTTCCAGGCCATGCAGAGGGACCTGATCGTGCGCGACCACGGCATCCGGCTGCTGGAGGCGCAGATCGCCACGGGCGGCATCATCGACCCCGTGCACAGCCACCGCCTGCCGGTGGGCGTGGCCTACGAGCGCGGCTACTTCGACGAGGACCTGAGCCGCGTGCTGGGGGACCCGGACGACGACACCAAGGGCTTCTTCGACCCCAACACGCACGAGAACCTCACCTACCTGCAGCTGCTGCGCCGCTGCGTGCCCGACCCCGACACCGGGCTGTACATGCTGCAGCTGGCCGCCCGGGGCTCGGCCGTGCACCAGCTGAGCGAGGAGCTGCGCGCCGCCCTGCGCGACGCGCGCGTGACGCCCGCCGCGGGCGCCCTGCGCGGCCAGAGCCTGTCCGTGTGGGAGCTCCTGTTCTACCGCGAGGTGCCCGAGAGCCTGCGGCAGGACCTGCTGCGCAGGTACCAGGCGGGCGCGCTCACGGCGCAGGAGGTGGGCTCGGCGCTCAGCTCTCTGCCGGCCGGGCCCGACGCCGGGGGCCCCGGCTCGGACCCTCGCGGCGCCCTGCGAGCGGCCACCATGGAGGTGAAGGTGGGCCGCCTGCGGGGGCCCGCGGTGCCCGTGCTGGACGTGTTGGAGTCCAGCTACGTGAGCGCGGCCGTGCGTGAGCACCTGATGGCCCAGTTCGGCTCGGGGGCGCTGGCCTTGCCCGCGCTGACCCGCAGGCTGACCACCATCATCGAGGAGGCCGAGGAGGAGCCGGTGGGCGGCGGCGAGGGCGGCGAGGGCGGCGAGGGCGGCGAGGGCGGCTCGGGGCCTCCGGCCTCGCCCCCCAGCCGCAGCGGCCAGGAACAGACCCTGCGCGCGGCCACCATGGAGCTGCAGCGCGGGCAGTTCCGGGGCCGGCAGGTGTCCGTGTGGGAGGTGCTGTTCTCCGCCTACGTGAGCGAGGCCCGGCGGCGGGAGCTGCTGGCGCAGCACGCGGCCGGCACCCTGGGCCTGCCCGACCTGGTGGCCGCGCTGGTGCGGGCGGTGGAGGAGGCGGAGGAGCGGCTCAGCAAGGTGTCCTTCCGCGGGCTGCGGCGCCAGGTGTCCGCCGCCGAGCTGCGCGCCTCCGGCATCCTGGGCGCCGACACGCTGCGGGAGCTGGCGCAGGGCACCAAGACCCCGCAGGAGGTGACGGAGATGGATTCGGTCAGGCGCTACCTGCAGGGCACCGGCTGCATCGCGGGCGTCCTGCTGCCGCCGTCCGGGGCCCGGCCCGGCGCCCCGCAGAAGATGAGCATCTACCAGGCCATGCGCCAGGGCGTGCTGCGGCCCGGCACCGCCCTGGTGCTGCTGGAGGCGCAGGCGGCCACCGGCTTCGTCGTGGACCCGGCGCGCGACCGCAGGCTGTCGGTGGAGGAGGCGGTGGCCGAGGGCGTGGTGGGCGGCGAGCTGCGGGAGAAGCTGCTGTCGGCCGAGCGCGCCGTCACGGGCTACACCGACCCCTACACGGGCGAGCAGATCTCGCTCTTCCAGGCCATGCAGAGGGGCCTGATCGTGCGCGACCACGGCATCCGGCTGCTGGAGGCGCAGATCGCCACGGGCGGCATCATCGACCCCGTGCACAGCCACCGCCTGCCGGTGGGCGTGGCCTACGAGCGCGGCTACTTCGACGAGGACCTGAGCCGCGTGCTGGGGGACCCGGACGACGACACCAAGGGCTTCTTCGACCCCAACACGCACGAGAACCTCACCTACCTGCAGCTGCTGCGCCGCTGCGTGCCCGACCCCGACACCGGGCTGTACATGCTGCAGCTGGCCGCCCGGGGCTCGGCCGTGCACCAGCTGAGCGAGGAGCTGCGCGCCGCCCTGCGCGACGCGCGCGTGACGCCCGCCGCGGGCGCCCTGCGCGGCCAGAGCCTGTCCGTGTGGGAGCTCCTGTTCTACCGCGAGGTGCCCGAGAGCCTGCGGCAGGACCTGCTGCGCAGGTACCAGGCGGGCGCGCTCACGGCGCAGGAGGTGGGCTCGGCGCTCAGCTCTCTGCCGGCCGGGCCCGACGCCGGGGGCCCCGGCTCGGACCCTCGCGGCGCCCTGCGAGCGGCCACCATGGAGGTGAAGGTGGGCCGCCTGCGGGGGCCCGCGGTGCCCGTGCTGGACGTGTTGGAGTCCAGCTACGTGAGCGCGGCCGTGCGTGAGCACCTGATGGCCCAGTTCGGCTCGGGGGCGCTGGCCTTGCCCGCGCTGACCCGCAGGCTGACCACCATCATCGAGGAGGCCGAGGAGGAGCCGGTGGGCGGCGGCGAGGGCGGCGAGGGCGGCGAGGGCGGCGAGGGCGGCTCGGGGCCTCCGGCCTCGCCCCCCAGCCGCAGCGGCCAGGAACAGACCCTGCGCGCGGCCACCATGGAGCTGCAGCGCGGGCAGTTCCGGGGCCGGCAGGTGTCCGTGTGGGAGGTGCTGTTCTCCGCCTACGTGAGCGAGGCCCGGCGGCGGGAGCTGCTGGCGCAGCACGCGGCCGGCACCCTGGGCCTGCCCGACCTGGTGGCCGCGCTGGTGCGGGCGGTGGAGGAGGCGGAGGAGCGGCTCAGCAAGGTGTCCTTCCGCGGGCTGCGGCGCCAGGTGTCCGCCGCCGAGCTGCGCGCCTCCGGCATCCTGGGCGCCGACACGCTGCGGGAGCTGGCGCAGGGCACCAAGACCCCGCAGGAGGTGACGGAGATGGATTCGGTCAGGCGCTACCTGCAGGGCACCGGCTGCATCGCGGGCGTCCTGCTGCCGCCGTCCGGGGCCCGGCCCGGCGCCCCGCAGAAGATGAGCATCTACCAGGCCATGCGCCAGGGCGTGCTGCGGCCCGGCACCGCCCTGGTGCTGCTGGAGGCGCAGGCGGCCACCGGCTTCGTCGTGGACCCGGCGCGCGACCGCAGGCTGTCGGTGGAGGAGGCGGTGGCCGAGGGCGTGGTGGGCGGCGAGCTGCGGGAGAAGCTGCTGTCGGCCGAGCGCGCCGTCACGGGCTACACCGACCCCTACACGGGCGAGCAGATCTCGCTCTTCCAGGCCATGCAGAGGGGCCTGATCGTGCGCGACCACGGCATCCGGCTGCTGGAGGCGCAGATCGCCACGGGCGGCATCATCGACCCCGTGCACAGCCACCGCCTGCCGGTGGGCGTGGCCTACGAGCGCGGCTACTTCGACGAGGACCTGAGCCGCGTGCTGGGGGACCCGGACGACGACACCAAGGGCTTCTTCGACCCCAACACGCACGAGAACCTCACCTACCTGCAGCTGCTGCGCCGCTGCGTGCCCGACCCCGACACCGGGCTGTACATGCTGCAGCTGGCCGCCCGGGGCTCGGCCGTGCACCAGCTGAGCGAGGAGCTGCGCGCCGCCCTGCGCGACGCGCGCGTGACGCCCGCCGCGGGCGCCCTGCGCGGCCAGAGCCTGTCCGTGTGGGAGCTCCTGTTCTACCGCGAGGTGCCCGAGAGCCTGCGGCAGGACCTGCTGCGCAGGTACCAGGCGGGCGCGCTCACGGCGCAGGAGGTGGGCTCGGCGCTCAGCTCTCTGCCGGCCGGGCCCGACGCCGGGGGCCCCGGCTCGGACCCTCGCGGCGCCCTGCGAGCGGCCACCATGGAGGTGAAGGTGGGCCGCCTGCGGGGGCCCGCGGTGCCCGTGCTGGACGTGTTGGAGTCCAGCTACGTGAGCGCGGCCGTGCGTGAGCACCTGATGGCCCAGTTCGGCTCGGGGGCGCTGGCCTTGCCCGCGCTGACCCGCAGGCTGACCACCATCATCGAGGAGGCCGAGGAGGAGCCGGTGGGCGGCGGCGAGGGCGGCGAGGGCGGCGAGGGCGGCGAGGGCGGCTCGGGGCCTCCGGCCTCGCCCCCCAGCCGCAGCGGCCAGGAACAGACCCTGCGCGCGGCCACCATGGAGCTGCAGCGCGGGCAGTTCCGGGGCCGGCAGGTGTCCGTGTGGGAGGTGCTGTTCTCCGCCTACGTGAGCGAGGCCCGGCGGCGGGAGCTGCTGGCGCAGCACGCGGCCGGCACCCTGGGCCTGCCCGACCTGGTGGCCGCGCTGGTGCGGGCGGTGGAGGAGGCGGAGGAGCGGCTCAGCAAGGTGTCCTTCCGCGGGCTGCGGCGCCAGGTGTCCGCCGCCGAGCTGCGCGCCTCCGGCATCCTGGGCGCCGACACGCTGCGGGAGCTGGCGCAGGGCACCAAGACCCCGCAGGAGGTGACGGAGATGGATTCGGTCAGGCGCTACCTGCAGGGCACCGGCTGCATCGCGGGCGTCCTGCTGCCGCCGTCCGGGGCCCGGCCCGGCGCCCCGCAGAAGATGAGCATCTACCAGGCCATGCGCCAGGGCGTGCTGCGGCCCGGCACCGCCCTGGTGCTGCTGGAGGCGCAGGCGGCCACCGGCTTCGTCGTGGACCCGGCGCGCGACCGCAGGCTGTCGGTGGAGGAGGCGGTGGCCGAGGGCGTGGTGGGCGGCGAGCTGCGGGAGAAGCTGCTGTCGGCCGAGCGCGCCGTCACGGGCTACACCGACCCCTACACGGGCGAGCAGATCTCGCTCTTCCAGGCCATGCAGAGGGACCTGATCGTGCGCGACCACGGCATCCGGCTGCTGGAGGCGCAGATCGCCACGGGCGGCATCATCGACCCCGTGCACAGCCACCGCCTGCCGGTGGGCGTGGCCTACGAGCGCGGCTACTTCGACGAGGACCTGAGCCGCGTGCTGGGGGACCCGGACGACGACACCAAGGGCTTCTTCGACCCCAACACGCACGAGAACCTCACCTACCTGCAGCTGCTGCGCCGCTGCGTGCCCGACCCCGACACCGGGCTGTACATGCTGCAGCTGGCCGCCCGGGGCTCGGCCGTGCACCAGCTGAGCGAGGAGCTGCGCGCCGCCCTGCGCGACGCGCGCGTGACGCCCGCCGCGGGCGCCCTGCGCGGCCAGAGCCTGTCCGTGTGGGAGCTCCTGTTCTACCGCGAGGTGCCCGAGAGCCTGCGGCAGGACCTGCTGCGCAGGTACCAGGCGGGCGCGCTCACGGCGCAGGAGGTGGGCTCGGCGCTCAGCTCTCTGCCGGCCGGGCCCGACGCCGGGGGCCCCGGCTCGGACCCTCGCGGCGCCCTGCGAGCGGCCACCATGGAGGTGAAGGTGGGCCGCCTGCGGGGGCCCGCGGTGCCCGTGCTGGACGTGTTGGAGTCCAGCTACGTGAGCGCGGCCGTGCGTGAGCACCTGATGGCCCAGTTCGGCTCGGGGGCGCTGGCCTTGCCCGCGCTGACCCGCAGGCTGACCACCATCATCGAGGAGGCCGAGGAGGAGCCGGTGGGCGGCGGCGAGGGCGGCGAGGGCGGCGAGGGCGGCGAGGGCGGCTCGGGGCCTCCGGCCTCGCCCCCCAGCCGCAGCGGCCAGGAACAGACCCTGCGCGCGGCCACCATGGAGCTGCAGCGCGGGCAGTTCCGGGGCCGGCAGGTGTCCGTGTGGGAGGTGCTGTTCTCCGCCTACGTGAGCGAGGCCCGGCGGCGGGAGCTGCTGGCGCAGCACGCGGCCGGCACCCTGGGCCTGCCCGACCTGGTGGCCGCGCTGGTGCGGGCGGTGGAGGAGGCGGAGGAGCGGCTCAGCAAGGTGTCCTTCCGCGGGCTGCGGCGCCAGGTGTCCGCCGCCGAGCTGCGCGCCTCCGGCATCCTGGGCGCCGACACGCTGCGGGAGCTGGCGCAGGGCACCAAGACCCCGCAGGAGGTGACGGAGATGCACTCGGTCAGGCGCTACCTGCAGGGCACCGGCTGCATCGCGGGCGTCCTGCTGCCGCCGTCCGGGGCCCGGCCCGGCGCCCCGCAGAAGATGAGCATCTACCAGGCCATGCGCCAGGGCGTGCTGCGGCCCGGCACCGCCCTGGTGCTGCTGGAGGCGCAGGCGGCCACCGGCTTCGTCGTGGACCCGGCGCGCGACCGCAGGCTGTCGGTGGAGGAGGCGGTGGCCGAGGGCGTGGTGGGCGGCGAGCTGCGGGAGAAGCTGCTGTCGGCCGAGCGCGCCGTCACGGGCTACACCGACCCCTACACGGGCGAGCAGATCTCGCTCTTCCAGGCCATGCAGAGGGACCTGATCGTGCGCGACCACGGCATCCGGCTGCTGGAGGCGCAGATCGCCACGGGCGGCATCATCGACCCCGTGCACAGCCACCGCCTGCCGGTGGGCGTGGCCTACGAGCGCGGCTACTTCGACGAGGAGATGAACCGCGTGCTGCAGGACCCGAGCGACGACACCAAGGGCTTCTTCGACCCCAACACGCACGAGAACCTCACCTACCTGCAGCTGCTGGAGCGCTGCGTGCCCGACCCTGACACCGGGCTTCTGTTTCTGGCCCTCACCCTGGTGTGAGTGCCCTTGGGTTCCCTCAGCACCCGCTCCTGTGTTCCGCGGCGTTCGGCTTTCTCCTCATTTTGTTTTGCTCGGTGTCTGCCGTCTTGTGTGTATTTTTTCCCCTTGTACTTTTTTCAGTTCTTTGCCTTTTTTCACATCTCCAAATTGTCCTGTCCCTTGGCTGTTCGGAGCCCTGTTCTGTCCTGGCTGGCCTCATTTTGGTTTGGAGCATTTTGCAAAACGAAGTTCGTGCATACAATAAAGTTTGTCTTTGTTTTCAGGGGTTTGAAAGCTCATCACCCAAACCTTTACATCCTTAATGTGGAGATTAAAGCTGGAACGTTAGCACCGTGGCACCCCGTCCTGAGAGCCTGCCCGTGGTGGGGTGACACACACTCTGCTCTCCCTACCAGGTCTTCGAGCCTCCGTGCCCTGGCCGGGCCGACAGGCGGTGCAGGCTCGGGTCTGTGTGGTCCGCTCCCGGCACTCATCGCGCGGCTGCCGTCGTTGGCGTGGGCTCTGTCCTGTTTGTAGGATGGGAGCTCTCACGCCCACACGGGAGCGAGTTTTCACGTGACTGTCTAAGGCCCTGCTTGCTGTGCTGAGCCCTGGCCCCCCGCAGGCAGGAGCCCTGCTGGCTGGTGTTTGAGTCCAGCTGCGGGCTCCCCGAGCCTGCCGCCACCGCCCTCACTTTCCTGCCAGCTGAGCCATCTCTCTGGGCCGCTTTCCCCTTCCCCGACGCCCCTCGGGCCCCCACTCGGCTGCTGAGACGGTGGATTTATTATTTCAAGCACTGTGTTTTTCTGGCATTTCATGCGGCTCTCACTGAGATTGCCTGTCTGCCTTGGGTGTTACGCCACGCTCTCTAACTGCCACCGGTCACCTTTTGTAAAGAAAACAGGTTTACTGTGCAGCTCAAAGTCCGGGCTGCGTCCCCTCGTGGCCAGTGGTCCCTCTGCAGGTCCCTCCTCCAGATCCCAGCACAGGCAGGCTCGTGGAGGGCCCCCCCGCGGTCCAGGCTCGCACTGGCCCGGCCTGCTCCCCTCAGCCCTGGGCAGACTTCCAGTCCTGGATGCTGAGTCACTTGGGGCTTACCTTGGATGTTATAAACACACAGAATGTGGGACTCTGGGTCCTGTTAACCCCCTGCTGAGAGGAGGTGCCCTGGGTTGTGGCCAGCACCTGCCTTGGCCAGGTCCAGGCCTGGAGCTGTGCCCGGCCCTCTGGGGGCAGTGGTCTCACGGTCAGTTCCATTTTCACAGCTTTTGCTGGTCCGTGTGGTTTCCTGGCCTGCTGCTGGGCGCCGGGTCAGCCCCTACATGGCATGGGCAGCCCTTTGTCCAGCGCTGCCCCTCCAGGATCTCCCCCACAAGGCCCTTCTCCCAGTCCTCCCCTCTGGGAGTGGCGAGTCTCATGCCATCTGGCAATCCCACACCCCCGGGCCAGAGAAGTCAGGAGAGGGCACAGGGGACCCCACACACATGCCACAGTGCCCACTCCTCTGTCTGCAAGGGCGGGGTGCCACAACACTGCCAGCACAGGACAGGCCTGGGTCAGGGCTGGCTCCAGGGCGGGCCTCCTCTGGGGCTCTGTTCTCTGTTTAGGGTGAGCACCACTCTCCGCAGGGCAAAGCCCCAGACACAGCTGCACACGACACCCTCCCCCCAACCTCAGGGGGGGTACCTCTGCTCTCCAGGACATGACTCCTGGCAAGATGGGTGGGCCAGGTCTCCCGTGACAAGCACCCAACTCTGGAGTGCACCCTCAGCCACACAGCGCCCTGGCTGGACCTGCCCCGGGGCCGGGAGCCTGCCAGCCTCCTCGGGTCTGGCTGAGCCTGCAATGGGCAGAGCTGTCCAGCAGGACTCAGCTGCTGGGGCCCGGGGAGGTTGGGGTGGGCTCTCCGAGAGCAGGTGGGAGCAGTGGGGGTGGGTGCGGCAGGACCAACGGCCCGGCCCTCCTGGTTGGGAGAGAGAAGAGACCAGCAGGAGGCCCCAGACCGTCCTGGCCTTCCACGAGCCAGCAGACTCTCAGAACTCAGAGCGGTTACACTGGAAGGGGTACCTCACCGTGGCCGGGGACACAGGGCAGAGCGGGCAGGAGAGCCCCCACAGGTACCATCCGGCGCGGCCATGCGGACAGATGAGGCTTGGTCTCCTGAGGCCTGGGCTGCGGCCAGCCGGGCAGGCTCCACGGGCCTCATGCCCAGGGCTTCTACAGGGACAGGTTCTCACTGCAAGGCCCCAGGCCTCTGGGGGGAACGCAGACACACCAAGAGGTGTTCCTGGGAGCCGGTCGGGGCCAGTTCTTTAGGAGGTGTGGGGCACAGGCTGGTCAGAACGGTGACAGCAGTGGACGTGGGAAAGGGTCAGATGCCAGGGTTCGGGGAGCCCAGCAGTTCAGCTAGTTTCAGCCGGAGAGGAAGCAGGCACCCCAGCCCCCAGGGAGGGAGTCGGCAGATGTGTGTGTGTGGGAGGGGGTGCATGTTGAGATGAGTTTTTCTTTTCTTTTCTTTTTTAAGACATTTTATCTAAAAGGCAGAGTGACAGACAGGCACACACACACACACACACACTTCCATCCTCTGGTTCCCAACCCAAATGGCCACAACAGCCAGGTCTGGGTCAGGCAGAGACCAGGAGCCAGGAGCTCCATCCGGGTCTCCCACGTGGTGCAGGTTGGGGGACCACCGGACCTCCCCACCTCAGCGGAGTGTGCTCCCACTGGGCACGGCAGTGGCGGCGTAGGGATGCGGGGCAGCAAGGTGGTCGTGGGTGGTTCCCGACCGCGCTGCGCCCCAGGGAAGCCCCGGCCTAGGAGGCTCAGGCTGGCGCTGGGGTCTCTCCTGCCCATAGCCGGAGCGCCCCGGGCCCAGGGCAGCCGAACGAGGCCTCGGGCGGTTAGGGGCCAGGCTCTGACGGAGCGGCCAGGGATGGGGCAGCCTTGGGTGGGGCGGAGCCGCAGAGTGGGCCGGGCGCGGGCGCTGCCCTCCGGCTCCTCCCCCCGGCCCGCCGCGCGCCCGCGCCTCCGGATTCCCGAGCGCGGGTGGGGGCTTCAGGCGGCGGCGGCGGCTCGGCTCGGCTCGGCCGGGGCGGGCGCGGGGCTGGGCGGGGGCCGGGGCGCGGGACGCGGGGCTGGGGCGCGAGAAGGGCGGTGCCTGCCCGCCCAGCCATGGCGGCCCCGGAGCCGACGCCGAGGAGGGGCCGTGAGAGGGAGCGAGAGGACGAGAGCGAGGACGAGAGCGAGATCCTGGAGGAGAGCCCGTGCGGCCGCTGGCAGAAGCGGCGGGAGCAGGTGGGCGCGGGCGGGCGACGCTGGCGGCCTCGGACGCCGCGGGCCCGACGCGCGCGCCCTGGAGAGAAGCCCCGGGCCTCCGAGGACCGGTCTTCTCCCTGGACCACCGTGCGTCCCCGGAATCCGGCCCTGGCATGCGGCCCACCGCTCCTGGGGGACCCAGCCACGAGCGCGCGGGGCTGCGGGACGGGCGCGCGCAGGGCCCGGTCCCACCCGCGGCGCGCGCTGCCCCGCCCAGGTGAACCAGGGGAACATGCCCGGGATCCAGAGCACGTTCCTGGCCATGGACGCGGAGGAGGGGGTGGAGGTGGTGTGGAACGAGCTGCACTTCGGCGACAGGAAGGCCTTCGCGGCCCACGAGGTGAGACCCGGCCCCGCCGCGCCGCGCCCCGGGCCGCCCCTCGCTGCTCCTGACCGCGCCCCCTGTCCAGGAGAAGATCCTGACCATGTTCGAGCAGCTGGCGCTCGTCGACCACCCTAACATCGTGAAGCTGCACCGCTACTGGCTGGACGCCTCGGAGACCCGCGCGCGGGTGAGCCGCGGTGGGGTGCGGGCGAGGCGCGGCGGGCGAGGCGCGGGCCGTGGGACCCGCCGCGAGCCCGCCCGCCACGCAGGTGGTCTTCATCACGGAGTACGTGTCGTCGGGCAGCCTCAAGCAGTTCCTGAAAAAGACCAAGAAGAATCACAAGGCCATGAACGCCCGGGTATGGGGGAGGGGGCGGGCCAGGGGTCAGGGTGGGGGTGGGCGCGGGGGGGGGCGGGCTGCGCAGGCCCGGCCGCCCCCCCCAGCCCACCCGATGGCGTCGTGCGTCGCCGCTAGGCCTGGAAGCGCTGGTGCACGCAGATCCTGTCGGCGCTCAGGTGAGCCTGCGCCTGCGCGCCCGCGCCCCACGCCGGCCGGGCGCAGCCTGACCACGCGGCCTCTCCCTGCCCCGCGTCCGCAGCTTCCTGCACGCCTGCAGCCCCCCGATCATTCACGGCAACCTGACCAGCGACACCATCTTCATCCAGCACAACGGCCTGGTCAAGATCGGCTCCGGTGCGGGTGCAGGCGCGGGCGCGGACGCGGCGGCGGGGGCAGGGCCGGGCGGGGACCGTGGACGCCGCGGCCTCGCGCTGACGCCTCTCTCTCCCCGCCGGTGCCGGTGCAGTGTGGTACCGCATCTTCTCCAACGGTGCGTGGGGCTCGGGGTAGCCTTGGCTGCGGCCAGGTTGCGTCCGCTCAGTGCCCGCGCTCCCCTGCAGCCCTCCCGGACGATCTGCGCAGCCCGGTCCTGGCGGAGCGCGAGCAGCTTCGGAACCTGCACTTCTTCCCCCCGGAGTACGGAGGTGGGTCCGGGGGCTCGGCGCGCGCCTCGCGGGCCCTGCCCGGCCCTGCCCGGCTGCCCGGCCTCGCGTCTCCCTTTCAGAGGTGGCCGACGGCACCGCCGTGGACATCTTCTCCTTCGGGATGTGCGCGCTGGAGGTACTGGCCCTGGCTCCCCGCCCCTCCGTGCCGGGCGGCCTCCGCCTCACCGCTGTCCTCTCCACGCCCAGATGGCTGTGCTGGAGATCCAGGCCAACGGGGACGCCCGGGTCACCGAGGAGGCCGTGGCTCAGGCCCGGCATTCCCTGAGCGACCCCAACATGCGGGTGAGCAGCCTGCCCGGGCTCTGGGCCTGCGGCTGCCGCCGAGGGGTGTGCCAACCACTTGCACAAAGCCCACCGGCGAGGAGGACCTTGCTGGGGCCCCAGGCGGGTTTGGGGCCTAGGACCCTAGGGGATCAGCGCTGTGAAGCCAAGGGCACTAGAGACAGCCTTGGCACGTGGCGCACTGGACCTCCCCCCCCCCCCCCCAGACCCGAGGCTGGCTCAGAGAGGGAGCCACAGCGTCACGCCGTCTGCCCAGCCCCGAGACCTCCAAGCTTCCAGACCTGGGGCTCCAGGTGGATGGGGGCAGGGTGGGCAAAGCAAGTGTAGGGCGCAAGCCTTTCGGGTCGGAGGCCAAGGGTTAGCTCTGCGGCCCCAGGGGCTCCTGGGGAGCTGGGGCGGCCCGGTCCATGCAGCCCCTGAGGCAGAGCCTGAGCAGGGCCGGGCTGTGGGTAGGGCCCGCCTGTGTGCCCGGATAATGGCAGTCACTGCCCGCGGTGCCGGTGCCCTCCCGCTCAGAGTCGGGGCTGGCTTGGCTGCCCTCGGGGTGCCTTTCCCTGGGTATTCCCGCCCAGGGCTCCCGCTGGGACTCTGAGGCGAGAGGGGCTGCACCCTGGGGTGCGGGGTTTCAGGAGGCCTCCTCCCACGCCCTCAGGAGTTCATCCTGTCCTGCCTGGCCCGGGACCCTGCCCGCCGGCCCTCGGCCCACAGCCTGCTGTTCCACCGCGTGCTGTTTGAGGTGCACTCGCTGAAGCTCCTGGCGGCCCACTGCTTCATCCAGCACCAGTGTGAGTGGCCGGCCAGCTGGGCCTGGCGTCCTGGCGCGGCAGCGTCCCCCAGGACTGGGGCTCAGCCCGCCCGTGTATCCTGCGGCCCGCAGACCTCATGCCGGAGAACATGGTGGAGGACAAGACCAAGGCGCTGGATCTGCACGCCGTCATGGCGGAGGTCCCCCGGCCCCCCCGGCCCCCCGTGCAGTGGCGGTGAGCGGCCGCAGCCAGAGAGGCCCCTCTCCGGAGAGCCCTGGACGGCCACCGCTTACGCACTCCCTCCCCCGTGCCAGGTACTCGGAGGTGTCCTTCCTGGAGCTGGACAAATTCCTGGAAGATGTCAGGTGAGGGAGCTGGCTTGAGGCCGGGGAGCAGGTGGCCGTCAGGCCCGAGCCCCAGCTACCGCCTGCTGTACCCCAGGAACGGGATCTACCCGCTGATGAACTTCGCGGCCGCTCGGCCCCTGGGGCTGCCCCGGGCGCTGGCCCCACAGCCCGAGGAGGCCCAGAAGGCCAAGACCCCAACGCCAGAACCCTTCGACTCAGAGACCAGAAAGGTGAGTCTTGCCGCTGTAGTGCACCCCGTTTTCCCTGGGGCCCCCACAGCCCCATCCCCAGGCTGCCTGTGGCCAGGGCCAGCCCCCGCGGAGGCGGGGCTCCAAGGGCTGTTTCACCAGAGGCACCCCTGAAGACCCTTCCCCCACCTTGCTCCAAGCAGCCTCCTCTGTCCCCCCTTCACCACCACACCTGCAGGGCTGCAGAGGCCCGGCCACCTCCCTTCCCCTCCACCCAGCTTTCGGACCAGCCAGGGCCGCTAGCATCTGCTGACAGCACCACTGTCCACCCGCAGAAGCCCCTGCCCGGCCCCGCCCCGCCCCCACGCCGCCAGCCCCGGCATCGGCTCCGGCAGAGAGCAGGGGCAAGGACGCCCCGTTCCCCCGGCAAACAGCCCCGTTTCCGGTCTCTGCCGCCCCTCTGGGCCCTCGGGCAGCGTCAGCCCGTCCTGCTGGCCGCTGAGTTTCGGCCTCCCGCCTGCAGGTGATCCAGATGCAGTGTAACCTGGAGAGGAGCGAGGACAAGGCGCGCTGGCATGTGAGCGGGGGCGGGCGCTTGATGGGAGGAGCGGAGCCCGGGAGGGGAGGGGCAGGCCCGATGGTGGGGGGGGGGGCAGGGGCGAGGGGCGGGGCCTGGGGGAGGAGCCCGATGGTAAGGGGGAGGCCTGGGAGGGGTGGGCCGGCAAGGGGCGGGGCCTGGGTTGTGAGGGGTCAGGCCCGATGGTAGGGAAGGGGCAGAGGTGAGGCCTGGGAGGAGCGGGGGGGGGGGGGGGGGCTGGGGAGGGGCTGGAGCTTGATGGGAGGAGCGGAGCCTGGGAGGGGCGGGGCCTGACGGCAGGGGCCGGCGGGGGCGGGGCCCCAGTCCGCCGCGCCGACCGCAGCTCCCGCCCGCAGCTCACGCTGCTCCTGGTGCTGGAGGACCGGCTGCACCGGCAGCTGACCTATGACCTGCTCCCAAGTAGGCTGCGCGGAGACCCCGGGCGGCGGGCGGGCGCTGCGGGCGCGGCCGTGACCTCACGCCGGGGTCCCCGCCTGTCCCGCAGCTGACAAAGCCCAGGACCTGGCCGCCCAGCTCGTGCACTACGGCTTCGTCCGCGAGGTGCGCGGGGCGGGCGGCGCCCGGGCGGGCGGGGGGCGGCGCAGGGCGGGCCTGCCGGCGTGCCCGCCAAGCCTCCCTCCCTCGCAGGATGACCGGGCGAAGCTGGCCGCCTTCCTGGAGAGCACCCTCCGCAAGCACCGCGGAGCCTAGGGCCGAGCCCCTGGCCTGGGCGCGCGCCCCATGGGCACTGCCGAAGGCAGCCCTGTGGGCCCCGGGTGGGGTGGGGGTGGCGGGGCCCCTTGCGTCTCCACGGTCACCCTGCTATGTCCGCGGGTCTTCTGGCCGGGAGGCCCTCGGGAGGACACCTGGCCCGTGACTGGGCACTGGGCCTGCACGGCAGAACACGCACACCCCTCCCCCCCCAAACCTGCAGGTGTCAGGCAGGGCGCTGGGCAGTGGGCAGGGCCGGACCTGGAGGGAGAAGCAGCGGGGAGAGCCCGGAGTCCAAGCTTCAGTGCCCGAAACCTAGGTCCCCTCCAGCCCACACCTGCCCAGAGTCCACCACCTGCTGTCCCGGCAGCCCCGCCATCGGGCCAAACTCATGCCCTCCTCCCTGGGCAGCCGGGAGCCACCAGGACATGGGTGCCTGGCTCTGGCCCATGTCACCCAAGTGCTGGGTCAGCCTTGCGCAGTCCGGTGCCGGCCCGGGGACGCCTCCCCCACTCCTGCCTGGATCGCTTCCCAGGCCTGTCCACTCCCCACGAGGAAGGCTGACCACTGCGCCTGTTGGTGCCACCGTGAGGCCGCGTGCACTGGCCCAAGACGGCAGCCTTTGCTACAGCCGGGTGGGTGGGCGGGCTGACCCGGGCCCACCACCAGAGCCGGGGTGGGTTGAGCTCACAGCCCTGCCGTGGTGGGCGCTTCCTGCTGGCTGCAACCAGGGCGGCGGTCGGCTGCCAGAGGCTGCCTCGGCCCTTCCCCGCCCTCGAGGCCAGCGCCAGGAGCTTGAGTCTGCCCCAGTACCCCTCCTGTGCCTCAGGGAGGTGCTCCTGTCTCCCACGGCGCCCGGGACGACAGCCCTCTCGGCCCTCGGCGTCGGTCACACCTGAGAAAGCCTTGTGCCTGGTCAGCCGAGGGCTAGGGGCTGACCCCAGCCGAAGGCCAGCCCTGAGAACAAAGGTGTCTCGAGTCTCCGTGCCTTACGGTGCCCCCGTTGTACACATTCCAGTACTGCTCACGACACGGCCGCCGTCCCGCGCCTGCAGCTGGGTCGGGGTCTAACAGCACTCACACGGCCCAGGTCCCGGCTGAGCGAGCTGGCGACAGCGGACCGTGATTAAACGGAATTTTCCAAGCGTCCGAGCCATCGCCTCTGCTGAGCGTTGCATTTTCAGTTTTGTCTGCTCAGGGTGACACCACGTGCCTGAAAGCGGAACCGGTTCTTGAGGCAAACAGCCGTTTACCGCGCAGCCCCCCCCCCCCACAGCTGTTTACCGTGCAGCCCCTCACAGCCATTTACCGCCCAGCCCCCCCATTTATAATGCAGCCCCCCCAGCTCAGCTTCTCACCGTTTCTTCAGGCACTTGCAACCACTTTCCTCAAAACCACAGCGCGCTTTTAGCCCTGCTGCCTGGCTGCTTTCTCTTAAAAAGATTGATTTATTGTTTGAAAGGCAGAGGGAGAGGTCTTCCATCCACTGGTTCACTCCCCAAATGGCTACAATGACCAGGGCTGGGCCAGGCGGAAGCCAGTAGCTTCCTCGGGTCTCCCACGGGCGCAGGGGCCCAGGGACCTGGGCCATCCTCCACTGCTTTCCCAGGCCACAGCAGGGAGCAGCATCGAAGTGGGACAGCCGGGACGCGAACCAGCGCTCGGATGGGGTGCGGGCGCTGCAGGTGGCAGCCTTCCCTGCGCCACCACACTGGCTGGTTTTTCTGTATCCCGTGTCCCCAGGCAGCGTCCTCTGCAGGGGGGCGGCGGGCCCTGTCCTCACCCCACCTGCCCCACCTGCTCCAGCGGTGGCTCCTCCACCAAGGTCCCTCCAGGGAACTCAGCGTCCTGGACTTTGTCAGCGCCTGCATCCCCAGTCAGCGGTCAGGTGCCCTGAAGTGGTGGACATGGCCGTGGCCGTGGGGGTCCCCTGGCCGCCTGCCCTCTCTCTCTGTTGGAGCAGGAACTCCCTCCAGGTGTGCCAGGCAGTGTGGCTGGCAGGCACAGGGCGGCCTGCGGGCCTCACTCTGCCCTCAGCCGAGCGGCCAGGCAGCGTGCTGGCTGGGACCACCTCTCCCCAGGATCTGGGCGTGCCGTGCTGTTTCCTTCCACGTCCCAACCTTTGCACAGGGCTGCTCTCCCGGGGGTCCCGATTGCTCAGCACCTCAGAATGGCTGTAGAAGGTTTTCCTGAATTCTTTCCTTGTCGGCTCCACTTTCCTTATTTCCGGACACTACTGAGATGTAGAACTTATCTTTTTTTTTACTATTATTTATTTATTTGAGAGGCAGGGTTACAGAAAGAGAGAGAGAGACAGAGAGAGGTCTTCCATCCGCTGGGTCACTGCCCAGATGGCCGCAATGCCTGGGGCTGGAGCAGGCACTGAGACGCAGTGCAGCCTCCCGCGTCCGGGGCGGCGGTCACTGCTGCCGCCAGGGTCTGTGGGCAGCTGGAGCCTGGTGCCCACGCGTGCTTCCTCACCTGTGGAAACAGGCCCGGGTGCCCACCGAGCGGCTACTGTAAGGGTCACTGCAGGTGACCAGGCCCACCACGGCCAGCAGAGGGTGGCGCTGGAGTGGATGCCTGGTGAGGAGGACCGGCCGGGGTTGCTGCTGGCACTGTGTTCTGGAAGATTCCAGCTGTGTGGAGGTGTTCACGGCGTGCTGAAGGTCATTGCACTGCGGCTCTGGGGCCTCACCCCACCTGCGTTGCCTCCGAGCCCCGCAGCCCTGGCTGTGCGGCTGCCTGGACTTGGGACTCCCAGTGGCGGGGGGCCTCTCGGCTGGCCGGCCTGCGGCCATTCCAGACAGTGCCAGCTTGGCTTTTTTTTTTTTTTTTTTTTTGGTAAAAGTTTATTTATTTATTTATTTGCAAGGCAGAGTTACAGAGAGAGAGAGGGAGAGAAATCTGGAGCCAGGAGCTCTCTCCAAGTCTCCCACGCACGTGCGGGGGCCCAAGGACTCGGGCCATCCTCTACTGCTTTCCCAGGCCACAGCAGGGAGCTGGGTCGGAGATGGAACAGCGGGACTTGGATGGGCACCCGTATGGGAGGCCGGCACTGCAGGTGGATGCTTAGCCTTCTGCACCACAGTGCTGGCCCCGCTTTTCTTAATTTTACATAAGGTAGGGGCCGGCGCTGTGGCAGAGTGGGTTAACGCCCTGGCCTGAAGCGCCGGCATCCCATATGGGTGCCGGTTCGAGACCCAGCTGCTCCACTTCCGATCCAGCTGTGGCCTGGGAAAGCAGCAGAAGATGGTCCAAGTCCTTGGGCCCCTGCACCCACGTGGGAGACCCGGAAGAAGCTCCTGACTCCTGGCTTCAGATTGGCACAGCTCCGGCTGTTGCGGCCAATTGAGGAGTGAACCAGCAGATGGAAGATTCTCTCTCTCTCCCTCCCTCCCTCTCCTCTCCCTGTGTAACTCTTTCAAATAAATAAATAAATCTTTAAAAAATTTACCTAAGCTATAGGAGTTTCTTGTATTTCCTATATACAGGTTCAGGAACAGTGACATCCCCACCCCACCCTCCGTCCTGCCCAGCTCCCACCCTTCCTCCTCCTCCCTCTCCCATTCCCACTCTTAAGTTTTACAAAGATCTGTATTCAGTTTACTTTATACTCATAAGGTTAACCCTACACTCAGTATGAAGACAAAGCCCTGCTCCTCAACAGTCGAGACAAGGGCTGTAAACAATCATGGAGTCTCAGAATGTCCGTTTCTCTCCAACACGTTGCATTCCAGGTACTCTGTTAGTACCACAGCTGGGGAAGCGTACCGCGTCTGTCTGTCTGGGCCTGGCGTGTTTCACTGAGTATAACGGTTTCTGGTTGTAGCCATTTCCTTGCAAAAGGCAAGATTACTTTTTTTTTTTTACCTGAGTCGCACTCCTGATTTTTTTTTTTTTTTTTTTTTTTTGACAGGCAGAGTGGACAGAGAGAGAGAGACAGAAAGGTCTTCCTTTTGCAGTTAGTTCACCCTCCAATGGCCGCCGCAGCCGGCGCACCGCGCTGATCCAAAGGCAGGAGCCAGGTGCTTCTCCTGGTCTCCCATGGGGTGCAGGGCCCAAGCACCTGGGCCATCCTCCACTGCACTCCCGGGCCACAGCAGAGAGCTGGCCTGGAAGAGGGGCAACCGGGACAGAATCCGGCGCCCCAACCGGGACTAGAACCCGGTGTGCTGGCGCCGCAAGGCGGAGGATTAGCCTAGTGAGCCGCGGCACCGGCCAACTCCTGATTTCTTTATCCAGCCATCAGCTGATGGATGTCGGTGAGCTGAGCTGCCGTGGGCGTGGGGATCAGATCTCTTTCTTACGCTGATTCCATTTCCTCCGGGTAAATCCCAGGAGGGGATTGCCGGTCTCTTCAACAAGTGGTGCTGGGAAGACCGATCTCCACGTTCAGAAGCAAGAAGCCTGACCCCTACCTTCCACCTCACACAAAAACCCACTCAGCATGGATCAGAAGTCTAAATCTATGACCTGACACCACCAGATTACCGGAGAACATTGGGGAGGCCCTGCAAGACTTTGCTAGAGGCAGGTTTCTCGGAAAACACCCCAGAGGCACAGACCAGCCAAGACTGACAAATGGGATTATGTCAAGCCAAGGCGCGTCCGCACTCCAAAAGAAACACTCAGAAACGTGAAAAAAAAAAAAATGAACAGAATTGGAGAAGTTATTTGCATACTCTGCAACTGATAGGATTAACAACAACAATCAATTTAAGAAATGGGTAAAGGGGCGGGTAAAGCCGCCGCCTGCAGCACTGGCATCCCATATGGGTGCTGGTTCGAGTTCCGGCTGCTCTACTTCTGATCCAGCTCTCTGCTGTGGCCTGGGAAAGCAGTGGAAGATGGCCCACGTGCTTGGGCTTCTGCACCCGTGTGGGAGACCTGGAGGTAGCTCCTGGCTCCTGGCTTCGGATCAGCACAGCTCCGGCCGTTGTGGCCATCTGGGGAGTGAACCAGAGGATGGAAGACCTCTCTCTCTTCCTCTCTCCCTCTCTGCCTCTCTTTCTCTCTCTGTGTAACTCCTTTCAAGTAAATAAATAAATCTTTAAAAAAAAAAATGGGCAAATGACTTGAATAGGAATTTTTCCTTTTTCTTTTTCTTTCTTTTTTTCTTTCTTTTTTTTTTTTTTTTTTGTAAGATTTATTTTATTTATTTGAAAGAGAGTTACAGAGAAAGGTCTCCCAACCTCTGGTTCACTCCTCAAATGGCCACAACAGCCGGAGCTGCGCCGATCCAAAGCCAGGAGCCAGGAGCTTCTTCCGGGTCTCCCACATGGGTGCAGGGGCCCAAGGACGTGGGCCATCTTCTACTGCTTTCCCAGGCCATAGCAGAGAGCTGGATTGGAAGAGGAGCAGCCGGGACTCAAACCAGCGTCTATATGCGATGCTGGTGCTGCAGGCCAGGTCTTTAACCTGTTATGCCAAAGTGCGGGGCCGGGGGGGGGGGGGGTGTCCGCATTTCTCAAGAGAGGAAACTCGAGGCCAACAGATTCCTGATAAAATGCTCAGGATCACTGGCCATCAGGGAAATGCACATCAAAACCACAACAGGGTTTCACCTCGTCCCAGAATGGCTTCTACAGAAGTGAACACAGATGCTGGCCAGGATGTGGGGAGAAAGGTCCCCTAGTCCACTGTTGGTGGGGATGCACACTGGTGTAGTCACTGTGGAAGGCCTCAGAGTGTAGACGACCACGTGACCCAGCCTCCTCTCTCCAGCCGGGAGCTGGGCTGAGGATCCTCCTCCAAGCAATCCGGATGGCTCTGTCAGGGGCCTGGCTGTGGGGCTGGGGCTGGGTGCAGGGGCCTGGCTGTGGGACTGGGGCTGGGGCTGGGTGCAGGGGCCTGGCTGTGGGGCTGGGGCTGGGGCTGGGGCTGGGTGCAGGGGCCTGGCTGTGGGGCTGGGGCTGGGGCTGGGTGCAGGGGCCTGGCTGTGGGGCTCGGGCTGGGGCTGGGTACAGGGGCCTGGCTGTGGGGATGGGGCTAGGGCTGGGGTACAGGGGCCTGGCTGTGGGGCTGGGTGCAGGGGCCTGGCTGTGGGGCAGGGTGCAGGGTGCAGGGGTCTGGCTGTGGGGCTGGGTGCAGGGGGCAGGGTCCTGGCTGTGGGGCTGGGGTGCAGGGGCCTGGCTGTGGGGCTGGGA